AAGAGATTAAGAATGATGCCCTTTACAATCTTTGACACAATCGATTAGCATTAGAACACTTCAATCACTATCATTTGTCAATCAATCGTTCAATTCCATCGATTCAATCAATCATATTATTATATGTCATACGTGGTATATCCAATAGCAATAATACATTAGGTCTTAAAGACCAAACAATCAATTGATGGCCATCATACAATAACAATAGTTCTCAGATTTGGAACTGACAGAGATCTCTGTAACAATAACAATATCAATAGCAATAACAATCATAATACACTATGGATGCCACGAATACAGTTCAAAATAGGAATATCATTCAATCGATAAAAAGTATCATTTCGGAAAGCAATCGCCTTGCTTGTTTCCACTTTTCAAAAAACACTTTTCAGAAAATTATACTTTCTTATTTTCCGTATTTTTTTGTTTTTACTGAATTTTTTAATATTTTAAGCAATTTTTTTACTTTTTAGACACACCTAACATACATACACCTAAAAAGTAAAAAAATTGTAAATTTTTTTTAAAAAAAATTCACTAAATACCAAAAATACAAAAAAAGATACAAGAATTCAGTACATTTTTTTGTATTTTTATGTATTTATTAATTTTTTAAAATATTTTTTCACAAATTTTTTACTTTTTAGATACATCTAAGTAAGGTGCATCTAAGAAAGTAAAAAAAATGTCTAAAATTTTAAAAGTATTCACTAAAAACAAAAAAATACGAAAATAAAAAAACTCAATTTTCAAAAAAGTTAATCCAGAAAACTCAAACCAAACACACTGAATATCTTCACATCAAGTATTAATTCAAAATTATTACTAATAAGTAAAATTCCATCGGTATAAACAATCAAGAAAAATAAATTGCTCCCACTGACCTTGAGATACATGCATAAATTAACAGTATTATCCATAAAGCCAAGTAATAATATTTGGTGAATCTTTAAATATCATTGCTCAAAAATTCATTTAAAACCATAGATAAATTTGTTTAACTTACAAATCAAATTTATTTTGTTTGGCGAAGCAATATATGAAAATGTCACAATACCACTATGATCATTATAAACCTATATTTATAACATTGGTAAGAACAATACTCTTTTCAAATCGCAACCTCTTACAATAGCTTTGTATTTATTTATTTATCTTTAAAATACTCATTAGATTTCAAATTTTTTAAAAAGTATACTGTGGTCTCATATCCAATTAATAATTTGTATCAATTCATTTATCATATTACAAATTGCCAATATCTTCATCATACGTAACAATCATCTCTTCAATCTCTTGATATTGCTCATTTAGAAAAATAATATGATCACCAGGATCTTGAACTGTATGAGAATGTCTAGGAGTTGTACGTGCTATACATATTCAACTTTTATTAATAGACTAAATAGACACTTCAGATTCTACTTGCACTCTCACTTTCTCTATGTGAGAATGAACGGACCGATTTATTATAATAGGCACAAGTATACAGGAAGATTTATATATTTAAACTGTTCACCAATCTAATAACTTCACATTTTAAAAGCTTAAAAGATTCTTATGTCAGAACCAAGATAATAGAACCATTGACAACTTACAAAGTAACAACAAATAGCTATAGGTCCCATTTTGATTTCAAAAATATATGATAAATTTTTTTACTTCTGTACAATCCCAAACTCAAAAGTTATTCTAACCAAATTTTATATTAGTTCGCAATTCAAAAGTGTTTTAAAAATATTTTTAACTTAGTACCATATGTAAAGTATACACAAGTATACATAGCAATTAAAAATATTTTATCACAAAAACTTGTACAATTTAAACATGTTAACCTACACCTCATCATTTTAATAGAGTCCAATTACGATGCTCAAGTATTCAACTTTCTTCCGAAGTTACAAGCATGATATATTTAAATTGATTCCACAATTTTGTAAAATTAATAAGAGGTTACTACAGTAACCAAAATTATCATGTTCACTATAATATCCACCTTGAATTAATAATTTTAAAAACTTTATCAGTGTATTTTTCAACATAAATGAGATTAGACAAATGCATAACATCAATACTCATTTATAAAATTGATAGAATAATTTCTCCCACACACTTTATGATAATTATCATCTAAGTCAAAATAAAAATCTATTTCAATTACTATTATTATTATTTTATTTTATTACCGAGGTGACAAAAATTAAAAAATAATAATCATACTTATTTAGTTTTGACATTAAAATTAAATTGTTGTTTTACGGACAATATATAAAATAAAATTCTTTAAAATAAGATCAGTACTAGACTACAACTTTAAGATCAGTACTAGACTACAACTTAAATAACATGATCAAAATAAAATTTTGATTAACACAAGAGCTTTTAAGTAGTTTAAAAAACAAATAAGGAGATCCTAGTGGTGGGAAGAACGTCATAGCTCACAAAAATTCTAAAGAATTTTTCTTACTGGAGTTAATAATATGTAAAGAGATTTGCGGAATATTATGAAAAACCATTCAAGACAGATAAACAATTTGTTAAAAACAAAAATATTATATAGAGCATTGTAGAGTATAATGTAGATTTTCTTGTAAGAATCACCTAGTGGATATTCTAAAACTCTGCTTTGTTAAATAGCTAACATTGAATATAATTTCAATCTTTCACACTATATCGAGATCTTAATATAAATGGTTAAGAAGACACATTCTCGAGTATATCAATGTCTAAATCAGTTAGTCTTAAAGCTAACTCAATATCTTTTAACTGATTCAAAATCAAAACTTTAATGGAGTAAATTTGATTTTCATAAAAATATCTCCCTTCATTGCTTTCAATTCAATATAATATCAATCAATTACATATTGACAATAGTAATCTTATCACCACAATCAATGTTCTCAAATTTTGAAATGTATCACTTCTAGACTGAATATATAGAAAGTACTTTAATATCTCAAACTTTCAATGATACATAGTGTAGACACCCCATTTTTGACCGCCCTTAAGACTTGGGCACTACTGATGGTTTGCTCGGTGTTGAGAGATGTGCAGGGCAAAGAATCAGTTAAATTATTGACTCTTTTGTCTTCTTCTTTTTCCATAGGTTAGGATTTGTAATGACACTAGACATGAAAAAATTAGTACTTTTTGTTATGTTTTATCGCGAAATTGTTAAATTTTACACATGGACCTCTCCATGTTTAATAGATATGGAGGTGTGAGTCATGCATGTACATAACTTAAAAATAAATAAATAAATAAATAATTAACTTAACATGGGTGAATTTATATAATTTGAAGATAATAAATAACTAATATTAGTATAATAATATATGTTATTTGAATCCATAGGGTGTCCCCTCTAGGTTCATTCTTGACCAAGTCTATTATTAGGTGATGTGGGATCATAATATATTCCTTCCTAAATATATCATATTATTTTATAATTAATAACACAAAAAATAATAATTTTTTAATGATAAAATGGTATTGATAGTAGCAATTTCATTCAGCAACCCATTGCACTTATGCAGCTATGCTCATAAATCTGAATGGCAAAAATAAAATTCACCTACCAATATTGGCGGCTAGAGTAACTGGCGTCATTATAAAAATTTTGTGTGGTGCCATCAACTAATTAAAAGTGACAAATGGATTTAAGTGGACAAATCTTATATATTTTTTAATTAATCCAACAATATTGTGATTCCTACAACGAAATGAGATTATTTATTGAATGATGGTATATATATACTACTAGAAAAGGGAGCTTTAGCCACGGAACTTTTTGTGACGGTTTAAAAACCGTCGCGAAAAGCAAGTATTTGCAATGGCAAATAAAGCCGTTGCGAAACTTTTTGTGACGGATTGATTTCTATCGCAAAAGCTTCACACTTGAGACGAATAAAATAATTCGTCGCTAATAGTATTTGTTGAGACAAAAAATGACTGTCGTTGATAAATAAGCAAAAAGACGTTATTATTAGCAATGGAAACAAATTATCCGTCACAAAAGGATCCATCAGTTGCAACAGATACTAAACCATGGCAAAAAAAAAAAAAATTAAAAAGACATAGTTTATGTTTTTGTGCATCTGTCTGTCCATCACAAATAATACGAGCCCTAACTTCCCATATTTCATTCTTACGCTATGTCTCTTCCTCTCATTGGCATCGCCTCACTCTGCCATCGTCCCACCGGTTTGATTACTTGATATTTTCATATGTAAGCACCGCAACATCAAGTTTGAAACCATCTTACTTTCATTATGTTAACTTTTTTCAACTATTTAAGTAAGTCAAATTTTAGTATATTTAATGGTCATTGATACAAGAAATATGGTAGACATACAACAATTCAAATAGCAAAGAAGTTGGATGTTTCATAACAAGAATGCTTACATCAATGATTTACTTTCTTGTGTTCACTTTTGAGTGTTCTTCGATACACCTATTGTAGAAGATACACTACTGTGGAAGAAAGGATAGACAAAAGTAAAACATGACCTATTGATGAGCATATTGTGACAATAAATATAAGTTTAATATGTAATGCTTATTTTGAATCATGTCTAAGCTTCAACCACTGATTGGTTGGTTTCTCTCAGCAATTTAGAACAAGAAACACAAAGAGAAAAACTAGGGATCATGAAAAAACTTTCATGAAAATGATCATGACAAATTTATGACCCTTTGATTATCTTGATTAGTGTGTGGTGCTTTATTTTAAGTGTAATCCAAGGGTCACAAAATTTTCATGATTATTTTCATGAAAAGTTTTTCATGATATCTAACATTGTTGGCATTTGGACTATGGATTTGGAAAAGGAAAAATAAAAGGGAAAGGGAAAGAGAAAATGTAAGGATAATATAAAGAAAATATAAGTATAATTTTTTTTTTCTTTTTTTAATTTCTATCCAAATTTATTATCCAAATATAGCACAAACAAATTTAAATTCCCAAAAATTACCCAAAAAAAAAAAAAAAAAAGAAGTTACCGCACAAAAATCTTCACAGGAAAGTTACTAATAAAAAATGAAGTGTTTGGTGTGATAAGATTAATGCCCATTTCCTTCCCAAAGTGAGCAACTAAAGTTTGAGAGATAGATGGGTTACCAGTCAAGTCATTAGTAGCAAGATCCAATACCGAGAGTAAGGTACAGTTGCCAATTGTTCTTGGAATATTTCCTGTCAATTTATTCGTCCACAGATAAAGCTCTTTCAATGAAGAGATGTTAAAGATAGAAGATGGGATGACACCAGTGAGGGTGGCATCCTCTATAGCTAAGATCTCCAAACTCTGTAGACTACCCAACTCTCGTGGAATTTCACCTGCAAAATATTAAATAATTTATGAATTGCACCTACCAAGTGTTGTGGTTGTTAAGTGTGGGGACATAATTTTTTGAGTGACAACACGTGGCCGAGGTGGCACCGAAGTGACAGCCGAGGTGCCATGTGTCCGGGTCATGATGCCGAAATGATCTCGGCTAGGCCGAGGTTATCTCCGAAGATACCGGAATCTGGGATAAGCAGATAAGGGACAAGAGTCCTAGAATGAGAGAAAACTTCAGTTTGAATAAAGATAAGACTCTTAGGGAGTTTATCCTAATCCTACTGAGAGTCTAAGATTAGCAGTAATCCTAAGTCCATTAGAGCTAGGCTTCTATTGGGATTAGGATTGTGTTGGCTATAAAAACGAGGCACCCCCATGGAGCTAAGGTACGCTTTTTATATTCTGAATAGTGAGTTAAGCACTTTTGCTATCTTTGAGAGATAACTGACTTGATTGTCGGAGTGCCCCGGGTGGACGAACCACCGCCGGAATTTCATCTTTCTGTTTCAGGTTATTCAGGCGTCGTCTATTCTGCCAGTGCTCTCCAGTTGCATACTAATTTGGCAGTGTGGTCAGAAATCTACTCACATAATTTGGCTCCGTCTGTGGGAAAGAAAAGAGAATAGATGGCCAATAACAGACAGAAAGAGAAAATTGGGGACGACACTCCTACTGGGAGTGGGAAACCTATCGACCTTGACATCGAAGAAGACAACTGCAACAAAGAGACTCGTGATAAGAATAATAAAGAGAAGGACGTCGGCCAGGAGGGTGACGTACCGAAGAAATCAGACTGAGGCGGATATTATAATGAAGACGACCTCTAGGTATAGAAAGATAGATGCCTACGGACGGACGACGAGATGAAGGAACTGGCAAACAAATTGGCGAACCTACAATCGGTCGTCAATTTCATGATGCAGAACAACGTTATGCAACCCCCGTTTTCATTACAAGATACGCCGATTCCAGCGGCCAAAATAGATGCCCAGATAGGGGGACAGAGGACAATTCCTGCGACTCCTCAGTACGATAGAACCAAAAAACACTCTCACCGGCCTTTAAGGGAGGTCGGGCAAAGAGAATCAAGAAAGGGAGATTCACGAAGGACGCATCACACCAAGGAAGCCGATCCCAAAGAACATTGGCATGTTCAAAGGAAGAAGCTGTGTTTTGGTGCAACTAATGGAGAGAAGTTCAAAAGGACTCACAATGATACTGGGAGCAGCACACCAAAAAGGCTAAAATCCGTTGACAGCCGAGCTCCTGGTCGGACCAAAGAGGATCTGAGGGGTTACTTCTAGAGGAAGCAACAAGATGCCGAGGTAACCTCTCCAGCCAAGCCGAGAACACCGTTCTCGGTGGAGTTAGAGAAATTTGAAGCCCCAAAAAGGTTTAATATGCCGAGGTTACAGATATACGACGGCAAGTCAGACCCTAACTTCAACGTCGACTTGTACCTAAACTCGATGGCATTGTACACTGGGAATGAGCCGTTGCTCTGCAAGGTGTTCCCCTCATCCTTCGGCGAAATTGCATCAGATTGGTTTCACAAGTTGCCGAAAGGAACTGTGAAAACCTAGGAAGGCCTGACCAAGATGTTTATGGCCAAGTTCATGACAAACAAACTACAGCCACTAACGATGGACACTCTGATGGCTCTGAGAATTGGCGAGGACAAAAGCCTTAGAGCCTATGCCAAAAGATATTACGAGGTGTTCAACCGAATACCAAGATGCAACCAGGAGGTGGCGGCCGTATCTTTTAAGAATAGCCTAAAGGATGACTGCCTAGTTCGAAAGTCATTGGCAAAGACATTGCCAAAAAGTATGGAGGAACTTATGGCCAGGATAGAAAAGTATGCTAGGGCCGAGGAAGATACACCGGGATCAAATGTGTCAAAACAAGAGAAGAAAAATGGCTCACCGAAGCGAAGCCGAGGTGATGGAGGGTACAACAAACAAGAGATAGGCCTAAGGACCGCACAAGCAGTCACTACCGCATTTCGGATTTCGATCTACAAAGTCCTAGAGAGGATTAGAAACCAACCATATTATAGGGCACCAGAGAAGGCTCCTGGCGAGTTTATGGGATGAAGCCTGGAAAAGCACTGTGCCTACTATAATGAGAATAGGCATCTGACTCAGGGGTGCAAGGCCCTAAAGGCATATCTAGAAGACCTGGTAAGACAAGGTCATCTAAGGGACCTAGTAGACGAGACCAGGACAAGAGAAGAGCAAGCAAGACTGCCTCATGCACCAGCAGCACCGCCATCCCCAGCACCGCAACCGTAGGGAGGCAGCCCTCAAGTGATCAATGTGATTCACTTAAAGGTCAATGAGAACGAAATCCGTAGGGAGACCCAGAGGGTAAAACACTTGCAGCATGTGTACCAAGTCCACCAAAAAAGACCTAGGGCAAACGAATACTAGGGACTAGTGGTGTCCTTTACAGAAAAAGATCTAGAGATAGCATCCACACAACGATGCCTTGGTAGTATCCCTCCAAATTGGAGAATGCCAAGTGAAGCGCATCTTAATCGACCAAGGCAGCTCTTGTGACATCATGTATGTCAGATGTTACAAAGAGCTTGGCCTTCATCAAGACGATCTGGAGCAATCCAATGGTCCTATGGTCGGGTATAATGGAACGCCGGCATGGCCCTTGGGAGCAGTAAATCTGGAGGTTCAAGCTGGCACCAAGAAGATTAAAACCGAGTTCACTGTAATTGATACTCCCTCACCTTATAATGTTATCCTGGGAAGGTCGTGGCTGCATGCAATGGAGGCTATCCCCTCAACATTACACCAGCTGTTGTGGTTCACAACAGAGCATGGAATTGAGGAGGTAAAGGGGGATCAACTGCAGGCAAAGAATTGCTCCGTGGCTGCAATGAAGTCTACCTGCAACATAAGAGAACCAGAAGCAGCAGAGATCGAAGACAAGAATGTGGAAGTCCTGGAGGACGTCGGCAAAGAGCCAGCCAAGAAGAGTAAAGAAGCCCTGAAGAAAATCCTTGTACAGCAAGGGGATGAAGCTTTTTCCTTCTCGGCTCGGGCTTAGCCGTGGAAGAGGAAAGAGAACTAGAGGCATTCCTGAGAGCAAATCTGGAGGTATTTGCATGGACACCCTACGAGATGCCTAGCATTGACCCCGAGGTCACTTGCCACAGACTGAATGTTCTCAGGTCGGCCAAACATGTAATCCAACGAGCAAGGAGGAAAACGTTAATGCATGTGGAGGCAGTAGAAGAGGAAGTAGAAAGACTTCTGGAGGCCAGAGCCATTCGAGAGGTAAACTACCCGACATGGCTATCAAACACAGTAGTGGTGAAGAAAAAAAATGGGAAGTGGAGAGTCTATGTGGACTTCACCAGCCTGAACAAGGCATGACAACTTCCCATTACCCAAAATTGACCAACTGGTAGATGCCACTTCAAGGCATGGAAGAATAAGCTTCCTAGATGCCTACAGGGGGTACCATCAAATAGCCATGTACCCCCCAGATGAGGAAAAAAATGCATTTATCATCCCAAAAAGGTTGTACTGCTACATAGTGATGCCTTTTGGATTGAAAAATACAGGAGCAACCTACCAGAGATTGGTGACAAAGATGTTCAGGCATCTAATTGGCAAAACTGTGGAGGTATACATAGATGACATGGTCGTGAAGATCAAGGAACCTGAGGGTCATCTGGAAGACTTGAAGGCAGTCTTTGACATCCTTAGGACATATCGGCTCCGACTCAATGCATCAAAGTGTGCATTTGGAGTTGGGTATGGTAAGTTCTTAGGATACTTGGTAACAAGAAGGGGCATTGAGGTAAGCCCAAATCAGATCAAGGCTATCCTAGAACTGAAGAGTCCGATGTCGGCAAAACAAGTGCAGATGTTGACTGGGAGGGCGGCAGCCCTGAATAGATTCATAAGCAGAAGCTCTGACAAGTGCAAACCTTTCTTTAGCTTAGTAAAGAAAGCCGCAGACTTCTTATGGACCGAAGAGTGCGAAGTCGCCTTGGCCGACCTAAAGAAGTACTTGACCACAGTGCCAGTTCTCTCAAATCCAGTACCAGGAGAGGAACTGTTCTTATACTTGGCAGTTTCAGAGCATGCAGTAAATGCAGTAGTAGTCATGGAAGAAAAAAGAGAGCAAAAGGTAGTTTACTACATGAGTAAAACCCTGGCAGATGCAGAGACCAGGTACTTACCCTTGGAGAAGTTAACATTGGCCTTAGTAATGGCTTCCAAAAAGCTAAATCATTACTTTCAAGACCACAAAATTGTGGTGTTAACTAAACATCCCTTAAGGTCCCTGTTGCAGTAAGGAGATCTGACAAGCAGAATAACCAGATGGGCAGTGGCCTTGGGCCAATATGACTTGGAATTCAGACCCAAGACAGCAATCAAAGGCCAAGTCTTAGCCAACTTCGTGGCCGAGTTCACACCAAACACCATCATGCATCGGGCTCCGTTGAGCCGAGGTATACAACGTCCAAACGAGCAAGAAAAAATCCAGCAGGGGACAATAGAACAAAGGAACAAAGAGAAACTCAAGCCCTGCAGTATTTACATCGGTGACTCCTTCCGATTATTTGTTGATGGGAGTTCAAACCGACAAGGAGCGGGGGCAGGAGTAGTACTAGTATCACCAGATGGGCAGGTACTAGAGCAATCCATTTGTCTAGGGCTTAAGGCCTCAAACAATGAAGCAGAGTATGAAGCACTAATAGCAGGATTAAAACTGGCAGCAGCCATGGAAGCTGACGAGGTAATAGTCTTCTATGACTCCCAGCTTATAGTCAACTAGGCAACCGACGAGTATCCAGCCCGAGATGAAAGGATGTCAGCTTATCTAAAGGGAAAGTGGGCAGACTAATGGCATTGTTTCAAAATTGCCGACTACAGCAAGTCGGCCGAGATGACAACAGCTATGCCGATACCCTAGCCAACCTGGCTAGTGTAATGAAACCAGGAGAAGCAAGAACAATAATGGTAGATTACTTGCCAGGACCAAGTATAGAACCACTGAACACAGAGCATGAAGTAATGTGTGGAGATGGGACCAAGCTAGATGGATGCAATAGTAGAATTCCTTAGAGATGGGAAACTGCCAGATGACTGAAGAGAAGCGCACAAGATCAGACTGAAGTCGGTGAGGTTCTGTTTGACAGCAGAAGGACATCTCTACAGAAGATCCTTTACTGGACCCCTTCTGAGATGTGTGCCTCCTGCACAAGTTGAAGACTTTCTATACGAAATACATGAAGGAGAATATGGAAGCCACGCTGGAGGCAAGACACTTGCTCACAGGGCCATTACTCAGGGGTATTGGTGGCCCTACATGCAGAAAGATGCTGAAGCTTATGTGAAGAAGTGTGAGAAGTGCCAAAGGTTTGCACCTTTGATACATCAACCAGCAGCCAACTTGAACCCAGTGTCCAGTCCTTGGCCATTTGCCCAATGGGGCATGGATCTTATTGGAAAACTACCTCAAGCAACTAGACAAATGAAGTACTTACTAGTGGCAACAGATTACTTCACCAAGTAGGTGGAAGCTGAACCCCTTGCCAAGATTCGAGACACTGATGTGAAGAACTTCATCTGGAAGAACATCATCACCAGGTTCGGGATCCCAAGAGCAATAATAGTTGACAATGGAACACAGTTTGACAGTAAGCTAATCAAGAGCTTCTGTGCAAAGTTCAAAATCAAGAATTATTTTTCCACCCCAAACTTTCCTCAAAGCAATGGACAAGCAGAAGCATCCAACAAAGTTATCTTGGATAGGATTAAGAAGAGACTGCAAGCAGCAAAGGGAAAGTAGGTAGATGAGTTGCCTAGTGTACTCTAGGCATATCAGACTACGCCAAGAAGATCAACTGGGGAATCCCCATTTGTCATGGCTTATGGCACAGAAGCAGTCATTCCGCTGGAAGTCAGCATCCCAGGGATCAGAACCCAGGGAGTGGAGAATGGAACTAATAATGTATTTTTAGCCCTAGATCTGGATCTGCTAAAAGAAAGAATGGAGAAAGCAACAATTCAGCTGAGGGCATACCAGCAGCAGCTTGCCAGAGCTTATAATAAAAAGGTGAACCCGTGAGAATTCCAAGTTGGTGACCTCGTCTTAAGGAAGGTCGTCGGCAATAAGAAGGATCCCAGAGAAGGCAAGCTTGGCCCGAATTGGGAAGGACCCTATAGAATCATCTCGGTCTTGGGCAACAGGGCATATCGGCTTAAGGATTGCGAAGGCAAAGAGCTGCCAAGACCCTGGAACACTTGCAATCTGAAGTTTTTCTATCACTAGATCTCATTGTTTTTTAAAATTTCTCTTGATATTAGCCGAAGTATTAATAAAAGTTTTTAAATTGATTTTTAAACTTGTGTATGGTGACTAAACAAGTGCTTGACGATGTTTCGGATTGAAACATGACGAATGACATAGACTTATTATATGGCAGAGTAGAAACCTTACTTGCATATAATAGAGTTGAACTAAGTTGGGGATGTTTCTAAGCGAAACATGACGAATAACTTAGACTTATTATATGGCAGAGTAGAAACCTTACTTGCATATAATAGAGTTGAACTAAGTTGGCGATGTTTCTAAGCGAAACATGACAAATAACTTAGACTTATTATATGGCAGAGTAGAAACCTTATTTGCATATAATAGAGTTAAACTAAGTTGGCGATGCTTCTAAGCGAAACATGACGAATAACTTAGACTTATTATATGGCAAAGTAGAAACTTTACTTGCATATAATAAAGTTGAACTAAGTTGGGTTAACCTGGACTTGTCATATCGGAAAAATCAGACATAAATCGGAGCCAAGCGCATGCCAGTCAGATTAACAAAGAAACCGAGGTCGGTAACCTCGGCCAGTCTTTGTTTGAATCTTACCTCAACGACAAGATCAAAGGCCACACGCCTAATGAGAACCCAAGTGGAACTTAAGTTCACATTAGGGGGCAGAGGCCTGGAGAAGAATGCAGAGTTGAAATTCACAAGGAAGATGGTTTAACACTTGTTGAAACTTTGAGAAAAATTTACAAGTTGAAGTTAAGCCGAGGTTATGTCAAAAGAAAATGGTTTAACGCTTGTTGAAATTTAAGTTTACAAGTTAAAGTTAAACCGAGGTCATGTTTAACACTTGTTGAAATTTAAGTTTACAAGCTGAAGTTAAACCGAGGTCATGTTTAAACACTTGTTGAAATTTTAAATTTACAAGTTGAAGTTAAACCGAGGTTGTGTTAAGGGAAGATTGGTTTAAACACTTGTTGAAATTTTTTAGAGAAATTTACAAGCTAAGCCAAGGTTGAAACGAAAGAAGTACTTGCATATTTGTGGAGATAAAAGCGTTGGTTTGTATCACCGAGGTATATCACCCCGAGAAGATTGCACAGTTAAGGTGTATATAGAAGACGTGCAAATTATTCTAAATATAGAGGCATTAAAAGGAGAAAAGCATACAAGCATTCAAAAGAGAGGAAGTTGTATTTACATTCAAGAGAGGGCACATCGGCCAGCTACAAGCTTAACATAAACAGAGTACAAGGTACAAGAAATAAAGAAGGAAACATCAAAATAAACTACTCAGCGTCGGCGACAGGTTGTGTCTCACCCCCAGAAGACAGTTGGGAAGACTTCTCAGCAGCCTTCTCAGCCGCGAGCTCAGCATCAATCTCCTGAAGGATTTGATCGAGGCTCTTCTCTGCGATTGGCACCTCGGAGTTTGTCTTCTGAGAGGAGGCATCTTTAGAGACCTCGCCCTCCTCATCCTGAGACAAGTACACGACTTGCTCTTTCAGAATAGAGGACTTGGCCCCAGCAACTTCCTTCATTTTCCTCACCAAAGCTTCCTCCTCAGACTCAGAATCGCCTTCGGATTGGCTTGGAGTAGGGGGGAATGGCAGGGGGAGGATGTCGGCATTCTCGAGGGGGGATTCCTCGAGGACATCAAGCTTTTTGAGGGCAGCCATCTAACCAAGGGTGAAACCCTTGTTGCATGCCTGCCTCACTTGCCTCTTGTAGTCCTCCTTGACGTCGGCCGCCCCATCAGCATACGTCTTCTCATCAGTGGCCTTGATCTCGGCCTCTTTTGTGGCCAAGGCATCCTGAAGTTCTTTTTAGGCCTCGGCCGTATTTTCTTCGGCCTCTCTCCTTTGGGCCTCAAGAACCTTCTTAATGGCCTCTGCAGCATCTGCTTTTTCTTCGGCCTCATCTTTAGCTTTAATGGTTGCCTCGGCCTGGACTGACAAGGTTTTTATTTTTGCCTCAACCTTTTTGATGGTCTACTGTAAACCAGCAACCTCCCTGATTTTGTTAGCCAACTCCTTCCTCATTTCAAAAGCTTGCATTGAGAATGAGTGGGCGTGCTGGATCGCCTAAAAGAAAATGGACAGAACAAAAGTTAGTAAAAATCCTCTAAGTATGGAAAAATAGAGAAAGAAAAATACCAAGTGTAAAGAGCTTACTTGAATGGAATGCTGCAGCATTAAAGTGAAGTTTTTGTATTCGCTCATCTCGGCGTTGCGATTAAGATCATTGGGAATGAGCAAAGCCGTAGAGAGGGCAACGCCGACTTCAAGGTCAGTCGCACTGTCGCCAGCTCTGACCGGTTTGTCCTCGATGGTGATCGGGGGAGCCTAGGGGGCATCTGGTTTCATGGACCCCAAGGCTGTGGCCGACTCGGACCTCAGCCTTTTTGACCGAGTTGATTGGGATGGTTCGGCCTCGGCAGGCCTCTTCTCGGCGGTGGAGGGGGTCTTCTCGCTCTCAGCCAATTTTGAAATAGGCAAGGTGTCCTCAGTATCAATCTGAGTCATCGTTGCCTTGGGCTGAGCCTTCTTCAGTCTTTTGGGCTTTGGCTTTGGTTGAGGTTGGGATTGTGCTGGTTGAGCATTGACGGTGTCGGGGATGTCAACTAGAAGATCTTCTGCGACTGCTTTTTTGCAACCCATCTCGGTGGCAATTGCAGTTCGACGTCGGCGTCGACGTTGAGATAATGGGATCAGTTGTGGAGCCGAGGTAGATGGATGCTCTGCTAGATCAAAGGTTGACCCCTAATCTGGCCGAGATGATGAAGTTGCTGATGGAGTTATGGCAGAAGGTGGAGACTTGCTTTTCTGCTTCTTTGGGACGTCAAGAAGTACCGACTTATAAGTTGGGATGAAATTGAGTAGTAGAGGAGCACTCCGCCTATGAACTGGCAGATCCAATAGCTTCTTAAGATCCTTGCTGGGGAAGAAAGACTTGCGAAAGCCCTTAGGTGGCTGTGGAAGAGCTGCACGAAATAACACTGACGTTAGAACATACAGGAAGAATAAGTTTTGATGACTTGAAAAATAAGTCTGTGTCATACTTGGTTCTTACCATTACCCTCTACGAATATTGTTCGGCTAAGGGGGTAGAGATGAAGGTCTTCATCTGGAGCGAACTCCCAGTTGCCCGAGACAATGAAGTAATCATCCCTGGCTCCCTTGTTGGAGTCTGGGAGGTCGGCAACAAGCTTATATTCTGTGGACCTCGGTTTAAGATAGTAGATGTAGCCTTCTTCTAATTTAAGGCCACACATGGTGTAGCAATACTGAATGTAGGCAAGGGTAACCCTAGCTTTCTCCTTTTTTGCTAAGGCAATAATACCATTGATAACTCAGTAAGAGTTAATGGCAAGCTGCATCGGGTTCAATTTGTAGTAATGGAGAACTTCTCGAAAAAAGATGTTTAGTGGAAACCTAAGTCTACATTCTGTAAAGGCAACAACAAGAAAAGGCATGAGGTTTTCATCAGGCATGATGGAGTCGTTTTCCCCAGCCAACCTCAGGTGAACGTCAGCCGGGATGTCAAACTCTTGCCTGAAGTATTCTAACTTAGTTGGGGTGTCTACCCTATGCCTCCATATACCCATGATTTCGGCTTGGGGGAAGGTGTTGGAGTTCAAAAGGAAGTACTTTTACGAAGGTTTGAGGGACCTCAGCTAAAACCTAAAATGTGCACTGTGGTCAAAATTTGAGGATCTAAGAGGGATTCGTCTCAATTTTCCCTAACATTTGTGAATTTTACGACAAAACCCAAACCTAAGTCTAGGCAAATGAAGGTTGAAGGCAAGGATCTGGAAAAAAACACAGCAAACAGAAACAGGAATGTGATTCAGAATCAAGAACAGTGATGAAACATCAAAAATACAGTGGGAAAGTCTGTATAGGTGTGTAAGGCCAAGAACAGTGGCAAGAATCAACTAAAATGCAAGCAATATATTCAAGAATGGATTGGGCAAAAACAGAATCATGGAACAAACATGTTCAATACATAGTGGAATTCAAGATACAAATACATGGGCAGGATTGCATAGGCAACGAGCGAAGCCGTGGAGATCATTAAATAGGAACAAGAAACTAAAACAGGAAGTTAAATCGAAAAAGAAATAGTGACTCACCGAAGAAAAACAAAGCCGGAGTTGAGTACGCCGGAGTCAGATGATGGCAGCGAACGGAGAAGATCAGCAAGAGCCTCGCCGGAGGAGGTGAACAGCAGTGGTTACAGAGCTTGAAGAGTTTGGAGCAATGGCGGATTTGGGAGAGGAAAGAGAAAGAGTTTGCGCGAGAATGAAGATGCAAAAGTGAAACGACGAAGAGAGAGGGAAAAGTTTTGTCAAAACTTGAAATGGTGGCATAAAGGCAATAGATGAGCCTAAGACGGCGTACATGTCAGATGGCGCACGCAAAAAATGACGTGACTTAGTGGCGCGTATCAGGTACAGCCCAGAAGGAGAAAGACGCGTGGCAAGAAAGGTTGAGTTGTTGTGCGTGACAGCTCATACGCGTGAAGGAGCTCTTGGAGTTCCTGATTTAATGGAGCAATACCTCGGCTTGGAGGATGATCTCGACTGAGAAAGTTGAACAAACCTGGTTAATGGTTCTGAGGCATTGATGAAAGCAGACTATAGGTCTTGGTCATATTGTGCCAATGAGTTATGACTTCGGCAATAAATGATAAAGCAAGCTTAGCCGACGTGCTAGATGGAAGAAATGATATAGGTTCCATCACCTCAGGATGCCGAGGTAATAGAACCTAGGGGGCAGTTGTGGGGACATAATTTTTGAGTGACAACACATGGCCAATGTGGCACCGAAGTAACAGCCGAGGTGCCATGTGTCCTGGTCATGATACCGAGATGATCTCGGCTAGGCCAAGGTTATCTCCGAAGATACCGGAATCCGGGATAAGCGGATAAGGGACAAGAGTCCTAGAATGAGAGAAGACTTCAGTTTGGATAAAGATAAGACTCTTAGGGAGTTTATTCCAATCCTAATGAGAGTCCAAGATTAGCAGTAATCCTAAGTCCATTAGAGCTAGGCTTTTATCGGGATCAGGATTGTGTTGGCTATAAAAGGGAGGCACCCCCATGGGGCTAAGGTACTTTTTTTATATTCTGAATAGTGAGTTAAGCACTTTTGCTATCTTTGAGAAAAAACTGACTTGATTGTCGGAGTGCCCCCGGGTAGACGAACCACCACCGGAATTTCTTCTTTTCTGTGACAGGTCGTTCGGGCAATCTATTCTGCCAGTGTTCTCCAGCTGAGTACCAGTTTGGCAGTGTGATCAAAAATTGACACATACAGTTTTTATCGGGAAAAGTAGACTAGTAGTCTGTTTGATGATATAAATATTTCTCATAATATAATTATTCTCTTATCTATTGACCACAAAAAAAATTTTGCCTTAAAAAATCCTTTATTATTAAAGTGAGACAAATAGTCATTAAATTCACTACAACAAATTAAGATTTTAAAGACTAAAAATTAGGAAATAAAATTATCACTAAAAATAATTTTGTGACGATTTTTTTACATGTCACAAAAAATTGACAATTAGTGACTTTTTTATCACGATTTTTATAAATTGTTGCTAAAATTTACAATTAATGACTTTTTTGTGATTAATTTTTCAAACTGTTGTTGAAAATTAAAAATTAGTGACTTTTTTATGGCATTTTTTTAAACTATCGCTAAAGTTTATAATTAGTAATATTTTTTGTGACAATTTTTAAATTGTCACCTAAAATTAACAATTAGTGACTTTTGTAATAATATTTGATTAAAAAAAATGTTATTAATTATCACATGACCCTATTAGACAATAAAATCCACCTATTAGGATTTACACGTAAGTTTCCCAATTTTTTATACTGAAAAGTTATTTCATAAAAATTTAAGTGTTGAACAAAAAATAAGTTGTTTGATATATATAAGATCAAATTTGAGATTTATTATTTTCAAATTATATATTTCAATTTTTATATTGTGGTGCTAATGGTGCTAGTGGTGCTAGTGGTAGTGGTGCTAGTGGTGCCATGGTGGTTAGGGTAGGGGTGGTAGCGATAGCGATGGTAGTGGTGGTAAAATGATGCTTAATGGTGGTGACGGTGGTAGTGGTGGTAGCGGTAGCGGTAATGGTGGTGGTGGCGTTGGTGACAGTAGTGACATGATGGTGGTGGTGGAGGTGGTAGTGGTGGTGGTGACATGGTTGTAGTGGTGTTGGTGGTAGCGGTAGTGATATCAGTGATCATGGTTGTGGTGGTAGTAGTAGTGGCAGTGACAGTGGCAGTGGCAGCGTGATGGTGGTGGTAGCGGTGGTGGTGGTGGTGGTGGTGAGTTTATAATTGTGTATATTGATATTTATGTCTAATATTTATAAATTCAATCATAATTAAATACGTTTAATGACTTAAAATTTTTTCAGTAAATTACAAACACACCCTTGAGATTCACTTAAATTACAAATTACTCCATATGGTTCTAAAAATTACATTATGCCTCCTAAGGTTTCTAATTTCATAACAAATAAGTCCTTTTATTAATAAATTATCAAGTTAATTAACAGTTTTTAATAATGTTAAAATTTTATTTCAATTTATAATTCAAATGATTTTATTATTGTATACGTGAACAGTTAGAAATTTTATTTTTTCAATTAATTCTGTTAAATAAAAAATTTGACAGGGAGACATTTGTAATTTTTCAAACCACAGGGAACAATTCGTATTTTAAGCAAACCTCAAGGGGTGTATTTGTAATTTATCCTAAAATTTTCTTAAGTTTTAGCCCTCATTTTAAAAGACACTTAAAATTTTAAGTAATATCGATTGTGGTTATCAAAAGGGTTTAATTGATTATCACTTAGCCTTCGTTTGGGAAGTAGATTAGCTTTTTGACTTTTTGACTATTTTAGCCTGGGCTAAAAAGTCTTGTTTGAGATAAGTTTTTTTAGCTTTTTTAACTTTTGTGAGAGAAAAATTAAAATGATTATGGTTTGGATGTGAAATTTAGTCTTATTAGTTTTTTAGCCTATTTTGTCTTTTTATGACTATTTTAACCCAACCTATAATACCAAACAAAACCTTAACACATTTAATTTTAAATATCGAATCAAATTATCAAACACCCTCAAAGTTTTTCAAATCAATAAATTTATAATAAACATATTTATCTACCATGTTTTGTTTATATCTTTAGTGTCATTGTGGTGCCGATAATAGATATGAGTAGCAAAGCTCATTCCACCAACAAAATCTGATAGACGTCATCTTCATGAGTAGAAAGGCATATACATAAAAAATAATAATAATAAATTTGAGTTAATTTTGGTAAATTACTAATTGAAAATAAATGTTTACATAAGCATACAACTCCAAGACCAAAACATCACATCATTAATGGCGGGACCCACTGCCACCTAATTAGTGGGAGCACTAATTAGTGCTCCCAAGCATTTTTCTTTGTTTATATCTTTAGTGTCATTGTGGTGCCGATAATAGATATGAGTAGAAAAGCTCGTTACACCAACAAAATCTGATAGACGTCATCTTCATGAGTAGAAAAGTATATACATAAAAAATAATAATAATAAATTTGAGTTAATTTTGATAAATTACTAATTGAAAATAAATGTTTACATAAGC